ATATCATTATATCTCAGTTATGGTATACGCCCACATACAATAATTGGCCGCCATGTTTTACGTCAAGCAGCAAGTGCTTTCTGTGTCCTGGGATCTTGGTCACTACATTTTGAAGCTAAAAACTATTCTAGAGTCAAGAAAGATGCCAAGAGAGCCAACCTAGGAAGTATAGTGCAATACTCTTGTTGTATGAGCCTGCTTTCCTCTTTGGGCTGTGACAGAGAGTCAAGAACTGATCGTTCTGGCTCTCCCAGACTTCTTAAGTCTTCAAAATATCTTGCTATAGTAAAGAACAGTTGATATGAAGCCTCTTATAGTCCTGAGTTCAGCACAACAAAAGTTTTATTGGCAAAACAGCTCTACTTTGCACATCAGCCATTGGAACTCTGCATAACTTTGACGTAAAACATGGCGGACAAAAATCCGTTCAATATTATTTCTTTGTATATACGGTATCACAAACTAATTCTCGCCTAAAGGGGTCTATATATAACAGAGCCCCCTACTAAAGGAAAGGTAGTTAATCCAGCAGCAGCTGTATTAGTGACTACTGGCCCCTCCCCTCAGGTACTATTAAAGACCACACTGGGTGATATTGATATAGTCTCGCCACGCCCCTTCGCTACCTGCGGAGGAAGGGTCTGGAGACACTCGCAGTAAAAAGCTGTGCTATATGCAGAGAAATCCACGTCCCAATCAGATTGCTCGAACCACGTGTAGGACAAGTAGTCATGTGACCGAAGAGCTCTGTTTAAGACAAAAGAAGAAGAATGAGGACCAAATAAAGGCTGGAAGGAGCCTGTAACACTCCCTGGACTTCTTTCTCAAAGTTTAAGAGCAGCATTATTATGCTGCTTACTACAACGACGCCATGGCACTTATGACGTCATAATAATGTCACGTGTTTGCAATAAAACGTCATCAATAAAAAGTAAATATTATGGCGCTCTGTAAAGAGCTGCTGCTCTCAAATCTGCAAGAGATGTCCAAGAGGCTTTATTCTTGTCTTCTTTTAGCTGCAAAGCATCTCTTTCAGCTGTTTTGACTGATCTGGTCTTCTCTGTCACATGATGTAGAGCCAACCACGTGGTTTTCTTTGCACATATTTTTACCGTGAGTGTCTCCAGACCCTTCCTCCGCAGGTAGCGAAGGGGCGTGGCGAGACTAATATTGATATTGAACTGTAGTCCAAAGAGGCTCCTCTGGCCTGTCGTAACTTCATACAATTGTGTTTAGAAGATTATTATAATGATACCATATTCCACAGAGTCGTTTTTGGTAATGGATTAATTATTATTAATTAGTGGGTGGAGTTATAATTATTAATTAAGTAGAATGACCTATTGATGTTACGTTGCTTTCCTACATGTACATGTAATTTTTATCTCTCCCTCTCCCCCTCTCTCTCTCTCTCTCTCTCTCTAGAGTTTGTAGCTCAAGGTGGTGATCCCACTGGTACAGGAGAAGATATTAATTATTAATAATTATTTGTACAAATACTTTTTATCTTCTCTTCAGGTGGTGAATCTATTTATGGTTCGCCATTTAAAGTGAGTCCAAGTCCATCGTTACCATGACAACCCTTTAACCACGCCCACTCTAATTAACAGGATGAGTTTCATCAGAGACTCAAGTTCAATAGACGTGGTCTGGTGGGAATGGCCAATGGAGGAAAGAATGATAATACCTCACAGTTCTTTATAACGCTGGGAAGAACTGATGAACTTAATAATAAGAATACATTATTTGGGAAGGTGAGGGGTGTGGTTAATAATGGTTGATGGGCAGGGTTTTCTTTAATTAATCAATTAATATTGTGTTGTAGGTGACTGCATGGTACCAAAAATGGCTCCAGAATGACCCCCAATTTTTATTACATTTTCTGATACATATTGATGTCCTAATGCTGTGTAGAAAGTTTGAGCTGATTCCAATAAGAAATCTTTGAGTTATGACCATTTAAAAATGGGCCAATTTTTGAAAAATACCCAAGCATAGCCCATGGTTTTTTCCGAAAAATGGCTCCGAAATCACCCCCAATTTTTATTACGTTTTCTGATACATATTGATGTCCTAATGCTGTGTAGAAAGTTTGAGGTGATTCTG